TTTTTTTTTTTTTTTGTGGATGATGAACTCTGGGATTGATATTTGGTTGAGTCAGGTTGCTTTATGCTTGTGACTCAACTCTACTGCCTATTGGTGGATATTAGAAGAGACTATAGAGCATTTCGATTCAAAATTTTGTTGATTTTTTGGATTTCGATCGATTTCTGAGTTGGGTATATGTTGGGTATATCCGAGTATATCCAAAGTAACTTTTCTTTGGTTATCTGTTTAATAATTCTTTTTTTTTTCTTAAGTTATATGTTGGGTATATCCGAGTATATCCGAAGTAACTTTCCTCTGGTTATCTGGTTAGGTATATTCGAGGTAACATTTCTCTCTATCCGAAGTATCTTTTCTCTTTATATGTTATACACTTTGTCACTGGCTTTCTGCACCTGTTACACATTTTTAGTATATTTGAAGTATATGTTTGGTGTATGTTAGGTAACTGAATATATACACTGAATATATACTAACATACACCGAATATATACTAACATAAACTCAAAATATACTACCTGACGGCTGCTTGAATTACAATGTACAAGTTGCGTGAATTAAGGAATTAATAAATGAATCAGTTATTATTTTTCTTTTCTCTCTCTTAATCAAGTCCACAAAAAAGGGAATGAAAGTTAAATATATATGGTAACTACTATTGATGCAATCTCATAAATAAATTAGCTTCATTAGGTACAATTAAAAATACTTTCATATGAAGGTAAATTTGAAAATATTTGTATATCTTATACAAGGACTAAAAATTTCCCTTTTCGGTTTTTCTAAAGATTAGTTGTTGTAGAATATTTTGCATATTGGGCCAATGTAATGGTGATAATGATGAGGGCTATGGGGACTAATGGTTGGGCCTATTAAACTTTATTAGTTTATTAACATATTCAGTTTTGGATAGGCCTTAAAAATATAACTGAAAATTGAGACTTATTTACAGGACACAATGATCAAACCAACCCAATTAGTCGAGATAAATCGGCTTATTTCGGATAATGCTTCCCTATTTACGGTGGGCACATGTTAATATACACACCGCTTATATGGTATTCACATATTGGTGATGTTCATATATTAAAAAAATACATCACCACATAAACGATGGGCATATTAACATTTGCCCACCGTGGATAGAGGAGCTTTACTGGACTTATTTCAGTTCCATCTCTCAAATCCCGATTTCAAAATCCAGAGGCTGCTTAATATTAATTCAGGCACTCATTTAAAAAGTATACATTTATTCATCCGACTCAAGTATGATCACTCATCAACTCAGCCGAAAGCTACATTATAACTTCAAAATATTTTTTTTTAATCCGGTTTAATTAGGGCGCTATATAGCATTCGTTTTAGGTGATACCTGCCTTCGAATTCTTCTTGTCGAACTGATTATACTCGTTAAAATTTTCAATTGGAGTTTGTTTGACTGCTCAATTTGTCATCGAAATTTTTTTTAGCATAAATTCGTTGTTATCTATCGATCGAGGGGCCATTTTTGTGTCTTATGGTGTACGTTTTAGTCGGGTGACTCACCGTTGTTTTTACTTCAACAAGACGACCGTAACTACAAATTTGTAACTCAATTAGTTTTTATTTGCTCAGTCAATTTTCATCTAAAATTAATTTAATTTGTTCTATTTTCAACTTAATTGTGGTGTCGTCTAACGTCAGTTTCAAGTATGTGATCCACCGTTGAATTCTTTTCGTCGAGACAGTCATATAGCCAAAATGCCAGACAAAATGGAGTTTGTTTGCTTAGTTAATTGACCTTAATTTCAATGTATGTGCACAAACGACATTTTCTGCCCGCGTCGAGCCCGTGATAATTTGGCCTTTATCTCGCTACTAATGATTAGTGTAAATGTTTTGTAAAATATTTTAAATTAATGTACTAAGTTTGATGTCTGTCAAAAGCACACTACAACCGACATAATGTTCCAAATTAAGCTCGAATTAGCAGCCCTAAATTGCAACTGATGATCATTTAAATCCACAAATTGAAAGCAAGTAAAATTTATAAAACCAGTTTTCGATAATAAATGTATACATGTTTAAACATGTCCGTCTTGAGGCTGAACCCACACCATTAACTCTGCAGCAGCTTGCTTGAATATTTCTTCAACTACAAGTGATGATCCTGAGCACTGCACTAACGGTCCAGTTGCCTGTTATGCCAAGACAATCAATATGATTAACCAATAAACGTAATCAAATACATTAAAAATATCCCACAATATGCGATCCGGGTCGACCAACGGATTAGTCGGGGCATAGCTCCCGAACCGTGGCTGGCTACCAAAAAAAAAAAAAAAATATATCCCACATTGGACGGAAAGAAGAAAGGAAAGAGAAGTAAGTAATCCCTCTTACTCGGACTTGAAGCATGAACATGCTCCGATCGGCTCCAGACGAGACTTGACCGGAAAGAACCTCGATTTTGTACTTATCCAACACGAAGCAAACGGCCGCCGGCAGGCACGGTTTTGTCGGGCAGCATATGTTGATTTGTGCGTCCTTCCCACACGCGCTGAGGATGACATTTGGGGAAGTCCACGTCTTGAAGTAGACGGGCCCGTTAGCAAATAACGGGCTCGGCGGGTTCGACGAAGCTGTGGGCCCACGGCTCGTGGATACCTGCTCGGCTAGAAAAGCTTCTCTTGTTTGAGGCGAGAGTTTAGCAGTCCCATACAGCCTTTGAGCCTTTTGTGTCTGGAGGGCTCCAAGAGTTTGCTGTAGCTTTTGGATGAATACTACTGCTTCATCCACTATGGTGGCTTTGTCTGCCTATCATTAATTAATTAATTCAACTTAATTTATGAAATCAATTGTAAAAAGGAATTCTCATCATTACTTAAATGAAATTTGTGGAGACAATATATCTATCAATATATTTTTTTTTTTTTTTTGGTACAATATATCTATCAATATTAAACTAATTAATTATGAATTACTTAGTGAAGGAATGAATGTATGTAGTATTAGTGAGCTAGTTACCCTTGGAGGGAGGTGGGGCATCAAAGCATGAAGATTTGCAAACATGTCCCTCATCTTCTTCCTCCTCTCTCTTTCTATCCATATATGTTGCTCGTGCTCACTTTTCTTTTCATCACCGCCCGGTTTCCTCTTTTTCCGGTTGGTCGGTGGAGATTCTGTCTCCACCACCGCCACAGCCACCGCTGCCACATCCTTTGGGTTGTTGTCGGAAAGAATCGGGAAGGAGCACGAGTCGTCCCAGAAGAAGGTGTCTTGTTCCGCAAGGCCTTGTGCCGCCATCGCTAATATGTCGTCGTTACCCTCGCCACCGAGATCTTCCATCCTAGCTAACATGTTTTCACTATAATTAAATTCAAGTGCTAGTAGCTGAACAATTTATATATATATATATAGAAACAAGTTTGTGTGTGTGTGTGTGTGAGAGAGAGAGAGAGAGAGAGAGAGAGAGAGAGAGAGAGAGAGAGAGAGAGAGAGAGAGAGAGAGAGAGAGAGAGGCGGCATAGGAATTTGTAAAGCAATATTAGCGGGGAAGTGAACGAGAAAGAAACCAAAATGTAATCATGAGCCAATTGCCGTTACTGCCTTCTAAACAATTAAACCGCTTTTGCATATAGTTTTCTCACCATAAAGAGGGTCCCACACTTCCTATAATTAAACTCTTTTTTTTTTTTTTTGGATTTTATGCCCTGTTCATATTGCTAACATGAACCTGCTATAAGCCATTGTCATTTATATATCCATAGCTTCTTCATTAACTATTTTATTTGGATGCTAATTATGTAACAAATTCATTAAGGATTCAAACTTTGTGATTATGATAGTCATGAACTCATTAAGGATTCAAACTTTGTTTCAATTAAATTGATAGTTTCAACAGTCGTGCATTGACTAAAACCGTGTCGTTACTTTTAACTAAAACCGTGTCGTTACTTTTAACGGAAACATTGTTAAACATTAAGGAGCTGCGAGATATGCGTTTACATATGTCATGATTATAGATTGCGATAATTTTACCTTATTACTTTATGCAAAACGTGATTACTCTTATCGCGATTTGTGATTAGCAAGTGCTTATCTTGCTCCCTACCTAAACTTTCAGTTAAAGGGTAAATACTTTTGGTCCGTTTACTTGTTAAAAAAAAAAAAAAAAGCTAAGTCATAAATTTCCTATTCGGAGTAGAAGCTTTCAATTCAACTTCGTACAAAATTCTAACACGCCCTCTCACTTGTGAGTCCTCCATACGAGGTCCAACCCCAACTGGACCGGGCGACAGGTACCTCATTGCGCGGTCCCACGTAGAATCGGCTCTGATACTATATTAGAAGCAGGGGAACAGGTTGCGGTCCCACTAGGTGAAGCGCACCATAAAAGGGAGGAGTAGCCCACTAGGCTGGCTTAATTATAAGGTAGACCTACTTTCTCTATATAAACAATGTGAGACAACTCACAAATGATATTCTAACACTGACAGATCTCGTCAGGCTAATCATGAATTAAGTACCATATTATAAATTTTATAATAAGATGGCATAATATGTTTATTTGGAAAATGTTAAGGAATAGGTTTTATCCAAGAGTTGCCAATTTTTTTTAACACGTTTTGTTACATAACAAGCAACAAAATAAATTGAGTTGCCATTCTATGCTCTTTTTTTTTTTTTTT